AGCAGCCTTTGGGGGTCTGTGTGTGTGTGTGTGTGTGTGTTTTAGCTGCTGTTGAACTCGGTCCCCTCTGTGTTTCAGAGTAGAACAGCTCCCTAGGTTTTTCTTGGCCGTCAGCTTTGCAGAAGTAGATTGCTAGACCCCTTGTCTGAGGCACCACTGGCTGTGGTTGAACTGCCATTTCGTTGGTGGCTGGTTCTGTTAGTGTTGCTCAGGGACTTGGATGGGGTGTGTTCTATGAGGGGCAGGTGTGATGGTGAGTGTACCATGTGTCCTCACATGTGAAGATGGGATGGAGTTGGAGGCAGTTCTTAGGTGGAGCTGATGGAACCTACCAATGCTTTGAGTGGAGGTGAGGGAAGGAGGATGGTGTTCACTATGCTTGGCCTGGGGACTTGTGTCCCCCTTGCAGGCAGGTTTTCCTGCTAACACCTTGCTCACTGCCCTCTACCCTCTCTCTGTCCCCAGCACTATGGCTGAACAGGATGTGGAAAATGAGCTTCTGGATTATGAGGAGGATGAAGAGCCCCAGGCTCCTCCAGAGAGCACTCCAGCTCCCCCCAAGAAAGATGTCAAGGGCTCCTACGTGTCCATCCACAGCTCTGGCTTCCGGGACTTTCTGCTGAAACCAGAGCTGCTGAGGGCCATTGTGGACTGTGGCTTTGAACATCCATCTGAGGGTATGTCTCCCTGTCATGTCTGCCGGGACCACCCAGACCATCCCTGCCCCGGGGAGGGAGCACCTGCTGTCCAGGTAGGGCCCGTGGCCCACAGGTGTCTAGTCAATGCCCTTTGTAACATGGTACAGTGCAGACACCCCAGGCCCAGTCATTTGTGACCTGACAGGAATGTCTTTGCCTCTTCAGTCCAGCATGAGTGTATTCCCCAAGCCATCCTGGGGATGGACGTCCTGTGCCAAGCCAAGTCTGGGATGGGCAAGACTGCGGTCTTCGTGCTGGCCACCCTGCAACAGATTGAGCCCGTCAGTGGACAGGTATGGGTGACCTCCGGTTCTGGCAACAGCCCCTGCCACTTTCTGGTCCTCTTTCACCTCTTTGAAAATTTTTATCCCCATATTATTTTTATGGTTTTTTGAAATCAAGTCTAGTATTTAATAAGGAGTCCTGGTGGTGCAGTGGGTTAAGTATTAGGCTTACCTGCTAACCACTAGGTTGGCAGTTCAAACCCACCAGCCACTTAACATGAGACAGACAAGAGGCTGCCTGTTCCCATAAGAAACAGTTCTCTGTCCTTTATAGGGTCGCTGAGTCAAAACTGACTGCATGGTAGTCGAAAGACGGTGCTTAACTAACAAACTCAGAAAATACTGATAAACCAAAAAGAAAGCATCCTGTTTCTCCACTCTGTGACTAGACAAGCTGAGGACTGAGTTTCAGGGACATGTGCTCTCCAGAAACGTGAGGTTATACTGAGCACAGTAGTGTTGGAGCTCAGCCACAAGTCACCTGCATTGTTAGGCTGGGTCTCACTAGCCTTTCTGTAGGTGCTGAGTGTGGGTGCCCCTCAGGAGTTCCCTGCCTCCTGGGGGTAGGAGAGGGTGTGGGGCTGTGAGGAAGAGGAGCCAGGGAACTGGACGTCCTAATGGCCTTGGTGTTGGAGGTCCACACGTGGGTTGGGGGCCGAGAAGGTAAGAGCTCAACATGTGTGGGCTTTGGGCCATGGGAAGGTTTGTTGTTGTTGTTAAGTGCCGTGGAGTCGGTTCCAACTCATAGCGAGGCTGTAAATCTTTACGGGAGCAGACCACCTCATCTTTCTCCCCCAGAACCGCTGGTAGTTTCAAACTGCTGACCTTGTGGCTCATAGCCCGATTCGTAACCACTACGCTACCAGAGCTCCTTGGGGAGGTTTAGGACCCTGGCTTAAGGATCCCTCTCCTCCTGTCCCACAGGTGTCCGTCCTGGTCATGTGCCACACTCGGGAACTGGCCTTCCAGATCAGCAAAGAGTATGAACGCTTCTCCAAGTACATGCCCAATGTCAAGGTGAGCTCCGGCGGGCGCCCACTGGTTCTCTGCAGCTTGCTGCCTCGGCTCGGCTCGGGCCCAGCTAGTCTTTACTAAGCTTGGCTGCTGCCATTGCCTTTGAGGTTTGTGGTGGTTTCTGCTCCTTAAAAGCCTGCTGAATTATGCATGGCCCCTGAGGCTTGTGCCGCCCCAGCCCTGGGCTGCTTCTCTGAGGAGCCTGTATCCCTACAGACCAGGCCTGTTCTCGGGCTTGAGGGCAGCGTCCTCAAGGGGATGAACCTTCAGCTAGGATGGGTGAAAAGCGACTTCCTGTCCCCGTAGGTGTCTGTTTTTTTTGGTGGCCTCTCCATCAAGAAGGACGAAGAAGTGCTGAAGAAGAATTGTCCGCACGTAGTAGTGGGGACCCCAGGCCGCATCCTGGCACTGGTGCGAAACAGGAGTCTCAACCTGAAGAACGTGAAGCATTTTGTGCTGGATGAGTGTGACAAGATGCTGGAGCAGTTGGGTGAGTCCCACCCCCTGGGCTGCAGAGCCAGCTGCCCGGGGCCGAGGGGGGTTCATTGGGGGTGAGCACATAGGTCTCCCTTGAATACTCTTTGGGAAAGATTTCCTCGTTGTCAGTGATACAGCCAGGGACCGCAGGCACACATTGCCCTCAACAGTTGCTTCACCTTGCAGCCCGTGGCATTCTAGGCCCCTGCCCTCAGTGAGTCCCTACAAGGCCGGTGGGAGACAGGGCTTTGTGTCCAGGGGCAGCTGCAGCTCTCACCTCAGCAGCTGTCTCTGCCTCAGGCTCCCTTCCCTGAAGCGTGGCACGAGGCACACTGGCCCGGCTGCTCCGCGCTGGCCGCGTGTAAGTGGACCGCAGCTCCTCCCTCGCCTGTGCTTGTCCATCAGGAGTCCAGCCCCTCAGGCACCTTGGGACTCACCCCTCCCTCCACTTGGTCCGCTCTCAAACCGACTGCCCTCTTCACGGTGCCAGTGGCTTCCTGGCTCAGGTTGGGAGGGGTCTGGGCCTGGTCTCGGGTGGGGACCGTGGTCTGGCAGGTGCTGATGCTCCTGTCTCTTTCCTGTCCCTTCTCCAGACATGCGGCGGGATGTGCAGGAGATTTTCCGCCTGACGCCCCACGAGAAGCAGTGCATGATGTTCAGTGCCACCCTGAGCAAGGATATCCGGCCTGTCTGTAGGAAGTTCATGCAGGATGTGAGTAGGGCATGGTCCCCTGCCTGCCCACAGGTCCTGGGGTCCCACTGCTCTCTTGGCACCTGTGGAGTATGGGAGGCTGCGGGGAGCCCTGCTCTCCCTGAACCTGGGCCAGAGCTTACATTCAGCTGAGACAGATCTCAGCAAGAGGCAGCTTTGGAAGGTTCCCTAGGCAGGTTAAGAGCCCACCAGTAAGCCCTGGCCGCCCATCTCTGCCTTCCCCCAACAGCCGATGGAGGTGTTTGTGGACGATGAGACCAAGCTCACGCTGCACGGGCTGCAGCAGTACTACGTCAAGCTCAAGGACAGTGAGAAGAACCGCAAGCTCTTTGACCTCCTGGATGTGCTGGAGTTTAATCAGGTGATGGTGCCATGGGTGTCTAGGGCTTCAGGAGGCTGCTTTGTCTCCTGATCATGGGACCCTAATGGCTGTCTCTCACAGGTAGTGATCTTCGTAAAGTCTGTGCAGCGCTGCATGGCTTTGGCCCAGCTCCTGGTGGAGCAGAACTTCCCCGCCATTGCTATCCATCGGGGAATGGCCCAGGAAGAGCGGTGAGTGTATGGGCTGGGACCACCCTGAGAGGGGAAGCCACCCAGAGGCTTGGTGCCTGACGTCTCTTGTTTTCCCCAGCTTGTCACGCTACCAGCAATTCAAGGATTTCCAGCGGCGTATCCTGGTGGCCACCAATCTATTTGGCCGAGGGATGGACATTGAGCGGGTCAACATCGTCTTCAACTACGACATGCCAGAGGACTCAGACACCTATCTTCACCGGGTGAGCAGCCCACAGGGCTCTCCCTCTCCATTCCTCTCCCAGGTCTGGCTAGAGACTGACTGACCCCTGCTTCTGTCCCCTTGCAGGTGGCCCGTGCTGGTCGCTTTGGCACCAAAGGCTTGGCTATCACTTTTGTGTCTGATGAGAACGATGCCAAAACACTCAATGACGTCCAGGACAGGTTTGAAGTGAATGTGGCGGAGCTTCCAGAAGAAATCGACATCTCCACATACAGTAAGTGGGTGGGCAGGGGGGCTGAGGACATGCTGGGTTGCTGGAGGGGCAGGCCGCTCACCTTACCGGGCTTTGTTTGTGTCTCCAGTTGAGCAGAGCCGATAACCCAGCGCCCGCCAGACCAAGCCGTCCCTGCATCCTGACTGGTGCTTTGGGATCTCTTCCTTCCTCAGCAACACCAGGCCTCTTTTTACTGTCTTAAAGTTGTAGATTTGTGTGAGAATAAATTTTATTAAGAAAGTTGGAGTTCACCTGCTCTGCTTATTTTGTTGGCGCTGGGGTCAGTGAGCAACGTGGCACTCTTGTATCGTTGGTATTTTTAATATTAAAGTGTCAACATTGAAAAGTTCATACAGATAAAAACATTACACAACATCTACAGTCTGACAATTAGAACCCCCTGCTCTGGGCAGTGGGGCCTCTGTACCGTGAGTTTCAGGGGCGGAGCTGGAGGCCTAGGCCCTGCTGTCTCCCATCCCTGACATCAGTCTTAGCTTACAAGGGAAGTTGGACCCTAGCACATGGCCCCTTGTGATGTTAACAAAGCTGGATGTGCGAAATGGCCAGCTTGGGAACAAGAGCCCTGAGTGTCCCTGAGACCTGTACCCAGATTGCAGCCCTGAGCCACCCTGGGTTGCAGTTGGGGCCATCCTGGCTGGTGTTGCAGTTTGATGCCAGACCACAGCTGTCACCTCGTGTCTCCTAGGCGCCGGACAGCGCAGAGGTGGGAGGGCGGAGAGAGAAGAGTGGGGAGAGGAAGGGTGGTCTTCAGCGTGTGCAAAAGCTGCCTATCTAGAAACCGCCTTCACATGCAGGATTCTGACTGTCTGAGGGCCTGGAAAGGAAAGAGTCAAATCAGGTCTGAACAAGACAGTTGTGGCACCCACCCACTCTCCTGCCCAGGCACAGCCCCTACCCGGGTCTGGTGGCTGGTAGCTGAAGTAGATGAAGTGAACTCTGAATACTTGTTCCCGGTAAACACACAAGCCCACTTCCAGTACTCCTCTCTGACCTGTGGGCCCGGGTGCAGGGTTATTAGATGGAGGACTGACAGATCCCGCCCCTCAGGCCCACCCCGGACACTCCCTGCACCTTCTTGTTGAGGAGGCAGTGCAGCACAAAGAGGAAGAGGCCCTGCAGGCAGTTGAGGATGGTGAAGGTGTAGGACATGACCCAGCTGTGCGGGTTGAAGAGAAATAGGCCGAAGACCCAGGTGCAGCCTAGCACAAAGAGCTGGGCTATTGCGGTGATAATCAGCACCCTGGGGAAGAGAAGGCACCAGCTCCAGTGAGGCAGGCCAGACCCACCCCTCCCACTCACCTTCCCGCCTGCCCTTCTACTCACCGCGCCTTCTTTAATTTCTTCATATCAGGGTTAATTTCAGAAAACTTCTGAGTGAGCTTCCAGATAGTAATCACGAAGATGACAGCATTGCACTGCGTGGGGAACAGAACTGGGATTAGGGGTGCCCCACAAACTCATGGAGGCAGGAACACAGTAAGGGGCAGGCTTGCTCAGGCTTGGGGTAGGGGTATTGGGAGGGCAGTTACCAGAACAGTGAAGACCACTGGTCCCAAGAAGCTCCAGAGGAAGCCACCTTGAGGGTCCAACCAGCAGCTGCTCAAGAGGGAAGGGGGTCGTCGGGTCAGCACCATAGGAGGGGTGCAGGGCCAAGAGTGTCAGGCACTGCCCCATGACCTGGGCCTGCCACACTCACTAGATAGCTCGGCCGTAGCCCTGACTGTTGACAGCCGCTGAGATGCCCACGATGACGCCTGGCACGCCGTAGCCGATGAGGCAGAACCAGCGGGTGCTAAGGCCCTGGCCCTGGAACACCCGCACCACTAGGAAGTAGAGCTCCAGACCCTCAAGGCTCATCCAGCAGAATGCGGCCAGGAAGAAGTAGTGTAGCAGTCCGGCCACTAGGCGGCAGCGCAGCCCCACCTGCGGGGCGGAGCAGACCAAGGGACGTCAGCGCGGGGCAGGGTCACATGTGGGCGTGGCCACGGGCCACCAGAGCCTTTCTTCGCTAGAGATTTCCGGAGGTAGGCGGGGCCTAGACACGTATGGGTGGAGCCACGGTCTAGAGGGGCTGAGACAGACCCAAACTCCACTAGATCCCGCCAGGGCATCTCACACTGGCTAGGAGGAGTTAAGCCGCAAGTGGAATCGGCCATGCGCTTCTCCAGCCCGCTGCCACTGGACCTTCCAGGGGAATGTAGCCGGGACCTGGTTTTGCACCCCTAAAGCCAGAGCTCTGGTAGCGTAGTGATTACGAATTGGGCTGCGAACCTTAAGGTCAGTGGTTCGAAACTACCAGCTGCTCCGCGGGAGAAAGATGAGGCTTTCTACTCCCGTAAAGATTTACACCCTCGGAAACCCTATACAGGGTCGCTATGGGTCGGAACCGACTCGATGGCACATAACAACAACAACAAAGCCAGAGCGGACGGGACTGGGTCCTGGGCAGCGATGGGGCTGCAGACCACAGGGCCGATCTCCTGGATCTGGTGCCGGGAGCGGACTGGGCCATGCTTTCCTGGAACTCGCTAGTCCCCCCTGGGTGTGGTAGAGTCCCCATGGGTGTGGTCTCACCTCACCGCCCTCGTTCTCGACTCCGGCCAGGAAAATAGCGGAGCCCACGAAGAGGCAGATACAGAGGTGCAGGTGCACAGTGGTGCGCGAGCTCTGGATAGGTCGCACCAGCAGGAAGGTGAGGATACACAACAGTAGGCAGACGAGAGACAGCGCCAGTCCCACCTTGGTGATCACAGCCAGCTTCGGGTCCTGGGGGCGGGACAGTGTGGGCGGGGTTCAATTGGGCCCTGAGACCTTTCACTCCACGGTGATCCTCCTGGGCCCCGGCCTGCGGGACCCTGATCTAGGTGCTCAGCTTTTGGTTCTCGCTTTCCAGCAGGCCTACTTGTCTCTCTCATCTGAAATAAACTCTCCCGTGGCCACAGCAGGAATCCCTAGTCCGGATCTGTTTTTTTGCCCCCACACATGTAGTCAGTCTCTGTATTCTCTAAGAAAGTTCCCTAGGGCAGCCTCATTGTCCATACTTGCAGACCCTCCTCTCTGACTTTAGGTCCTGTCCCTCTGACCCTGGCCATGACTATCAGCTCATGGGTTCAACACTTCTGCCTGGTCAGTCCTGGTTATTCTACCTTGGGGTGGACCAGGTGACTGCCCCCAGGGTCACATAAGTACCAAGTGGTGTGGGGGGATCATCAGAGGTATCCTGGCTGAAGCTGGACCCTGCACTACCAGACTGTTCAGTTTACTTGTTAGATCCTAGGAGTCCTGATATGGCGCTGTAGGATAAGGTTTGAACCTCAAAGTTGGCGGTTCAAACTCACTAACCACTCCTCAAAAATCCTATACAGGGTCGCTATGAGTCAGAACCAACTTGAAGGCACTTAACAACAACAACAACAGGAAGCCCAGATCTGCTCCAGTAAAGATTAAACCAAAGACCCAAACCCAACTGTCCATTCAAGAGCAGAACTCCTCCTTGGACGTCTCTGAGGGTATAAATCTTTATGGAAGCAGACAGCTTCATATCAGCCCTTGGAGTGGCTGATGGGTTTGGACCACAGACCTTTTGGTTAGCTGCTCAGCATGCAACCCATTCCACCACCAGAATTCCTGCAGTAAAAAAGATAGCCTAGGAAAACACTCTTGTCCTGTGGGGTCACTGTGAGTCAGAATTGAACACAACACCGGAGCCCCAGAGAGAGGAAAGGGTTCTGGGGCCCGCTGGGCTGCCCACCCATATGCTGTTGTTAAGTGCCGTTGAGTCGGTTCTGATCCATAGCGACCCTGTATAGGGTCTCTGAAGAGTGGCTGGTGAGCTTGTACTGCCAACCTTGCAGTTCAAACCGACTTTGTAGTCCAGCGCATTAACCCACAACGCCACAATATTTCAAGGAGCAGTTGGGTGGGACTACTGAGAACCAGCTGGTGTCTCCCCTAAGCCCTCGAGGTGGCCCCAGCTGCTCACCTCCACGTTGTAGTGGGCCATGAGGATGGCAAAGCTGCTCAGGTGGTTGCATTGGCAGGTGGTGCTGCCATTGCGGCTGCCAAGCTTCTTGCAGCCTGTGGTGGCCCAGTGCCCTCCCTTGTCGCCGTCTCTCTTCCAGAAGGCACAGATCAGCTCTTGCCGGGGCCCGGGCATCTCCGGCTGTGGGCAGTGGGGCAGTCAGAGAGGTGGGTCAGAACCCTCTCTTGGTTCTGAGCTCTGGGTGGGGGTGGGGATGCTTCTGCTCAGGCTGGGCTGCTTCTCATTGACAAGTATTTACTGAGCACCTATTGTTTGCCAGAGGAGCCCCGCGGTGCTTTGGGTTAGGCATTGGGCTGCTAACTGCAAGGGCAGCAGTTCAAATCCACCAGCCGCTCTATGGGAGAAAGATGAGACTGTCCGCTCCCATAAAGATGTCCAGTCTCAGAAACCAGGTATAGAACCACTAGGAGTTGGAATTGACTCAATGGAAGTGAATTTTCCTTCTGGTTTGGGGTTTACTATTTGTCAGGTCCAGTGGGCACAGTAGTGAACAGAGTAGATAAAAATCTCTACCCTGTAGCGGCTGACATGCTGGGGGAAGATGGATGAGAAAGACTAAATCATCTGTGTCAGATGAACCAAGAAGCAAGGTAAACATGGGTTTACTTATGCTTATTAATCTCTAGTGAACAATTTCACATTGTTTTCACCACAGGAATAATTCTACTTCTTAGATAGGCTGGGATCTGTGTTTCACTCAACCCTATAGCACCTTCCTATAGAATCAAAGTCTCTCTTCAAACTGACCATCCCTGTCAGGGACAGAGAACCCAGTCAGTAAAGTAAGCAAGGGCCTACTTGTGCTTACTTGTGAATCTGCAGTGAATGGTTTCACATGTGTTGTGGTGAAGCCCATGGAAATTGTTCTTTGCCAATTCATAAATAAGCACAAGTGAGTCTGTGCTTACCTAGCTGACTGGATAGTCTGCTTCCAAATAAACTTAGGAAACAAGTAAACTAGCATGTGTGTGAGAAGGGGGAAAAGTACTATCAAAGATTAGGATGGAATAGGAGAAATGTGCTGAGTGATTGATCACAGGTTCGATTTTAAGTAAGGAAGTCAAGGAAGGCAACATCTGAGCAAGGACTGGAAACATATAGGGAAAGTGTCCCAGGCTGATGGAACAGCAGGTGCAAAGGCCCTGAGGTATGTTTGAGGAGGGAACAGAGCAGGAGGAAGTTGGGAAATGAAGACAGTAGAAGGGCCACTATAACTTGGGCTATGGAGTGAACAGGAGGGCTGACCCCCACCCCCACCCCCTCCTGTCCCAGCCTGAAGACTCACAAGGTGGGAGAAGGCAAAGGTGACTGGAGGTTCGAGCTGCTCTGTGTTCGTGTTGCTCAGAAATGCGGAGTTGATGGCCGAGAGGATTTTGAACTGGGCCCCGATGACTGGGCTTTCATGGGTCTTTTCCAGTTCTTTCTTCTTACTGAACTCCAGGTCCAAGGAGGCATTGGCCAGCAGTTTCTGCATCTTCAGGCTAGAGAGGATGCCTACCACCACACGGCCTGTAAGACAGACAGACACACTGCTGCTTCTGTCTTCCTCCTTCCTCTCTCAGCCCCTCCTCCCTTCTAGTACATCGGATCCAGGTTTGGCCAGCCCCACTTTGATGCTGTAGTCCCCCTCACCCCCTACAAAGTACATATTCTGAACCTGACCCTGGCCTTCTCCCCAGGGATCTCCTTTCCTACCCCTCGGCAACCCTTCCTGACTCTAGCTGTTACCTGAATCCTTGTTTGGAGCTGCCACATCCCAGTTGAGCCTCATCCGTGCATGACTCTGGCCCACAGTGACGTTTTTGTCTCCATGCTCATCCTGGATCATCACGGATAGCTCTGAGAGGAGAGGGGGTCATGACTGGGTGCTGGGTATAGAATGGGTTCTGGGGCTGGGGCTGGGCAGGAGGAGGCCTCACCTGTTTTTGCAGGAGAACTGTAGGTAAAGGAGGTCCCTGGCATGGTCTGTGCTAGGATTCGAAAGAAGTTTTCAAGGCCCAAGAGCATATGAGTGGCATCGAGGTGCTGGACAGCCAGGTCCTGGCGCATGAGGTCCCCAGGAGCCTCCAGCAGCTCATCCATATAACTAATCATTTTCTGGAGCAAGGGGTTGGGGAGTGGGTGAGAATGCTGCAGGGACACAGGCTGCCCAAATGACCCTGATCTCACCCCCACCAGGGGACAGACTGGAGGATCCTCTGGATTTCCAAGAACAGGAGAATTATCGAAACGTTGCAGTAGCCAGGAAACACGCAAGGGGATGAGCCCCGTGTGCATGCATATACAACAGCAGGCGGTGTTTATCAGCTGTGCACCAGGCACTGCCCAGACAGCTGCCAAGAGCCCCCATGTGGTTTTTGAGCACTTGAAATGTGACTGGCCCAAATCAAGATGGGTTCTGATCGTACAATACACAGCAGATTTCAAGAACTTAATCCAAAGAAGAATGTAAAATATTGCATTAAAAATCCTTTTTGTATCAGTTACATGTTGAAATGGTCATATTTAGGATCTATTAAGATTCCGTGAAGTCTGAAAATAAACATCTTCTTTTGACTTTTTAAAAATGTGACTACGTATACGATTGTATTCTTATGGTTGAAAAAAAAGAAAACTAGAAAATGTGCGTTAAGTGACTTCTACTATATATTAGACGTTGCTGGGCTCAATGCCTACACTAATATAACACTCTATGCCAGGTCCTAATCTCCTGTTGATTCATTTAACCCTTCACACCCACTCTATGAAGTAGGCACCATTTTTGTGTCTATGTTATAAGTTACGAAGCTGAGGCCCAGAGAGGAAGAAACACTTGCCTGAGGTCAGTGTTAATATACTACATGTGCACGTGTGTGTGTTTGTACACAGGTGTGTGGGCATGCACACGTGTCAGGGTGGACATGTGTGTCTGCATTTGTGTAATGGGGATGTATGTGGTACGTACATAGTCTGCATATGGGCACATGTTTGTCTCTGACCAGGGAGCCCAGGTTGGGTTGAGGGCTGTTTACACCACCTTGAGCCATGCCCCAAGCACCCACCCTCAGGCTGTCCTGGGATCCCCCAGGTCCCACCCTTACTTGGGTAGTGGTGGTGGCTGAGTCTGGCTTGTAATCTTTGGTCAGATCCTTAATTTTGACAAAGAATCTGGAGAGGCTCTGAGGAGAGGAAGAGGAGGGGGTCAGATAACCCAGTGCGGGGTGGACTGGGGGTTGCAAGGACAAAGGGGCGAATCTTGTGCAGAGGGTATCCACTCAGGTCACTTACCTGGCTGCTGATTCCTGAGGGAGGGGTCCAGGAGGTGAAGCTCTCTGTGGGAATAGAAAGAACACAGTTCACTGGGTTGGAGGCCATGTGTGTATGTGTGTGTGTGTGTGTGTGTGTGTGTGTGGTATGTTGGGGATGCCAGCTGAGGCCAGGCCAGGTCTTTGCACTCAGTGGTCACTTAGTCATTCTGGAACCCAGGTTTGGGTGTTGTTATGGACTGAGTTACATCCCCCCTAAATATGTGTTGTAATTCCTAAACTCTATGTGTGGGAATGGGCTGTCTTTGTTACGTTAATGAGGAAGGATGAGTGTAGGGTGTGTCTTGAGTCTATATCTTTTGAGATCTAGAAGAGATTAAACAAACCAGCAGAGGAGAGAAGGGGTGGGGGGACGGGGGAAGATAGATAGCAAGACACATGGAAATATCCGAGGGACCTGGAAGCAGAAGCTGAAAAGACAAGGATCTTCCTCTCCAGCAGACAGAGAGTCTGCCCCTTGAGCTGGAGCTCTGAATTTGGACTTTTGTCTCCTAAATTGTGAGAGGATGAACTTCCACTTGTGGTATTTCTGTTACAGAAGCACTAGCTACTACACTAACAACAAACATTGGCCACAGTTGCACGTTTTGTGTTTCCTCAGTGGGTGGGGTTGTGGTACCATGCTGCACTTGTTCATGTCTGGAGACACAGAGAGGGTTTGTCTCAGCCTCGATCAGGTGCCTCCCTCTCCTCTGTGTGCTTCACCCCTTCTTCCTGGCCTTAGTTTTTCTCTAACCCCTTCCCTCCCCATGTAAGATAGCGCTACATCTCTGAGTGGACGTAGTAGGGACCATGGGAGTGTGGAGAAGGCTGACACGCAGCATGTGAATCCCTACAACGTACACGTGTAAAGGTATTGAAACACCTTCATCTCACTCAAAATTAGCTGCTGCCTGGGGCCCCCTCAACAGCCAGCTCCTACCCTGACGTTTTCCATTATCTTTTCATTTCTAATCTCAGAGGGGTCAAAGTCTGGCCGAGCAGTGGACCCCCAGCCCTCATTCTGCTTGTTGCCTCATTCTAGGGTACCCTAGAATCTGTGATCAGATGCTTTGATGGAGGGTCTCCAGGATGTGGGATCTGAGCTCTGTACCTTCTTCACAAACAGTGTTGTTTGGGCCATGGGGTGACCCAGGTTTCGGCTTCCAGCCATTTCTGCAGACGCATTTATAGCCACCCACAATGTTGAGGCAGTGAGTGGTGGTGTGGCATGGGTTTTGCAGAATACATTCATTCACATCTGGGGATAAAGTCAGAAGGTCAGGCCCTGTCCAGCCTGGCTCACCACACCCACTTCCCCATCTCCTGACAGTCTGGAGCCAGAGCCAAGAACCCCACCATTATTGAAAGTGGTACCACCTGGTGACCTCGAAGCACCTTAGTGTGACCTTCATCCTAAGATGTGTGCAGCAAGACCCATGGTCTCCAGTTTAAGGGCAGTGGAACCAAAGCTAGGAGGACAACTGAGTCATGGGAACTGGACTTCCCTCCCTAGCCCAGGCCAAGGTTCCCCTTCTCAGAACCAGAAGTGGCACCTTCTTCCCTTTGTTTTCATCAGACAAATGAGGAAGGTCTGGGGGATACTATCAGGGGCAGGGGACCTGTAGGGGAGCCCTTGGTCCAGAAGGCTCCTACTCTGTACCAGAGCCTTCTGGTGAGGCGAGTCCTTGGACAAGGCCTTAGCAGACCTTGGTATTGTAGGAATCTGAGAATCTTCGCTTCCTTGGCTGTGTGACCTGCCTCCAATCAGACCCGGCTTCAGTCCAGCCTCATACATTTCTTCCGGGGTCTGTACCTTTGCACAACTTTGGGTCCTCCGGTTTGAATTCAAAGCCAATAGGGCACTTGCAGGTGTAGTTGCCTTGTGTGTTGACACAGGTGCCTCGTTCTTTACACGGTTTGCGCTTTTGCTGACACTCGTCTATGTCTGCAAAGGGAAGGAGAGGATGGTGAACATCTGCCGCCATAGCAGCCTTCAGGGATAGGGACTGTGCGTTTCCAGGCACAAAAACATCCATAAAAGCTGTTTCCTCCGGCAAGTGTACCTTTCCTAATTCACACGAAGATGTCTATAGGTGAGTATGGTGGCCCAGATGCTCGGTTAATCAGATGCGGCTGAAATGGCTGTCTTCCCTATCTGTCAGGCCCTTTAACCCTTTGCCAGGTTGTATCCTGACCTCAGGAGATAGAGCAGGGTAACCCTGGGCCTTGCTGGAAATTGTTGTAAGGTGCCATCCATCGATTCGGTACTGACTCATAATGACTCTACTATGCACAACAGAACAAAACACTGCCTGATCCTGGGCCAACCTCACAATTGTTGCCACGTTTTGAGTCTACTGATGCTGCCACTTTGCCAATCCATCTCGCTGGGGGTCTTCCTCTTTTTCTCTGACCCTCCACTTTACCAAACATGATATCCTTCTCCAGCGACTGTTCTCTCCTGACAATATGTCCGAAGTATGAGAGATGAAGTTTGGCCATCCTGGCCTCCAAGGAGCACGCTGGCTGCACTTTTTCCAACATAGATCTATTTGCTCTTTGGGCAGTCCATGACACTTTCAATCTTTTCCTCCAACACCATAACTCAAATGCATCAATTCTTCTGTGGTCTTCCATATTCACTGTCTAACTTTTGCATGCACATGAGGTTACTGAAAATCCCATGGCTTGGGTCAGGCGCACCTTAGTCCTAAAGCGGACATCCTTGTTAAATGCTGCTTCTCCTAGCTGGACTCTCTCTTGGCTCCCAATGGTGACCTCTTGTTCCAGGCACCTTTGACCTGATTTCTTGGGGCAGCTGCTCTCTGACCGAGTTCTCCTCACTATCCCAGCAACCCTAGCAGGACAGCATGTCTCTCCTCTACACCAACTAAGACTCCAATTCCCAGGAGACAAACCAAGTTTCACACTCAAGCCAGAATAATGTGGGTAGGCTGTGCCCTGCACAAGGGCACTGGGTCAGGGTGGGCAGCCCTAGGGCCCAGAAGGCACCATTTTCTGATTCTCACAAAGTCATCCTGTGGATTTGGCAGGAAGTGGATGAGTGAGGATCCAGGCCTGAATGGAGAATTCATACCTCACCCTACCTGCCACCAGGGGGGCTCAGCCTCATCTGAATTGACCTCCTTGGGAGAGACTTAGCCCTGGAAATGGTGCTGAGAGCCAGGACTCACTGAGCCCCTCCCTCCCTGAACTGGAGCTTTAGGCCATAGGTCCTGCTCCATACCAGCCAGCAGCATCTCCTCCCCATTCCCTGTTTTGAGATCCTTGGGAGTCCTTCCCCACCTCACCACGCCCTCATCCATGTCTCTGCCTGAGCCCTCCTCTCTCAGCTCCAGCCCGTATCTAACATGGCAACATAAGCATCCCCTTCCCCTGTGTGGGGGACAGGACGCAGACAGATCGTGTTCAGGTGGTTCACTGTATAGGCTGCTCAGCAGAGGGGATGAGTAGGGGCTGAAGACCAGCCCACCCTCAGTCCCCAAACACGACTGTGTCCTGGAGAAGAGGGACCTTCTCCTGATCCACAAAGGCCCTGTCCTCTGGCCCAGACACCCGTGGGAGCCTTGTCTGTGTGAACCATGTTTCCAGCACACACTCTACCCTGTCTTCTACCAGGGTGAAGTGCGCCCACCTACCCCCGCCTCCTCACCCCCCAGCCTGCTGACAGGGCGGAGGGGCGGGGCTGGGAGCAGGGCCATGGGCTTTGTTCTCTGCATTCGGAGGGTCTGCTGGACTTGCCACCTAACCCTCTCTGGAGCTTGGCTCCCCTCCCACCCTGGCTCAGTTCCACTCAATGCTCACTGAATTGACTCCTTCTCTGGGTGAGTCCTAAGACGCTCTGGCAACATAGTGGTTACGAATTGGGCTGTGAATCACAAGGTCAGCAGTTCGAAACTACCAGCTGTTCCGTGGGAGAAAGATGAGGCTTCTTGTAAAGATTTACAACCTCCGAAACCCTACGCAGGGTTGTTATCAGTCATAGCCAACACCTGGGTGAATCCTGGCTCCCGCCCACCCACTGCCCTGCAGAAGTCTGAAGCCCCTTCCCCACCCAGCCCACTCCTCACTGAGGTTGGGTATGAGAGGAGGCACCAGCCCTAGCTCCTTCTGACCTGAACCATGTCTTCCTGCAAGGCCACCCTACAGATGACTTTACCAACCATCACTGACAAAACCTGTTCTGTGAGCCAAGTGTCCTTAGGTCATTTTGTGAGCTCATTTACCTTCCCAACAATGCTACTTTTGTCAGCTCCCTTTAACAGATGGGTAAACTGAGGCACAGAGCATCAAGGTAGCTTGTTCATGGTCACACGGTTAACGAAAGGCAAAACTGCTTTTGTTTTCCTCTTTAAATCATAGGCCTTTCTCTCTCTCCTTACCACTCTTTTTCAAATAGGATTGTTCTTGTTTGTCATTCATTAGGTGCCACGGGATCGATTCCAATTCACAGCAACCTTGTATAGGGTTCAGCAGTTCAGGGCTTATCCTATAGCGCCACACCAGGAGTCCTCTAAATAGGATATTGCAACCATATTGTTGTTAAGTGCCATTGAGTAGATTCCGACCCATAACGACCCTATATAGGATTTCGGAGGAGCAGCTGGTGAGCTCAAACCGCCAACCTTGCAGTTCAAACGGCTTTGCAGTCTGGTGCATTAACCCACAGTGCCACACCAGGACTCCTGCAATCATATTACCACGTCTCAAACACGAACATGCGTTATGAATACGTATCCTGACCAATGTCTCACACACAGCTGGCAAAGATAGATGTGGACCCAGGCACCCGGTCCCAGGGTCTGTGCGGGCGGCTCTCACACCACTTGCCTCTCTGTGCATTAAACCTGTCCCAGCTCAGATCCAAGTGGCACACATGTGGCCAGGGCGTTGCCCATGGAAGCCACAGGAACAGCTCTGGTGACCCCAATACCTGAAGGAGATGGAGGACGGTGGGGGTTCTTACCTTGGCACGTGTTCTCACTCTCATTCTTGAATACTCTCCCTCCAGTAGCGAGCACATATCCTGGGTTGCACGCACACCTGAAACTCCCCTCCACGTTCTGACAGTCGGCAAATTTCCCACAGGACACTTCCCAGGGCGGTGCACACTCGTTGATGTCTGGGACACAACAGGGCAGAGTCACCTCCTGTAGACGTGAGTTTCCTCATTCCCACCTGACTCTCCACCACAGGACTGACACTTAATCAGTTGGTGTTTGTTGGTGTTTGTTGTTAAGTGCCGTCCAGTGGGTTCTGACTCACGAAAGAATAAGGCTCAGGCTGCACTGCTGTGGCTGGGCTACAGATTGAGCAAGCCATTTCTGAAGGCCACTTAATTGTCTTTGCTCATCTCCGCCTTCTGGCCGACACCCTAGATTTGGACACATTGGGCAGTGCCAAAGTGGGGCATCCTTCTCTAGTCCTTGAAGGACACGTGGAGGAGCTCCTAGGGCCCAGCTCCTGTCTAAGAAGCTATGTTTAGTCACTTCTTATCTCTCCAACTCGATGGCTTTTCCTTTCTTTTTTTCTGTGCTCTTCCCAAGGTCAAGGGCTGAAGTGCTCAGCCATCACATGTCCCCCTCTGGCATGCGTAATGCACCACAATCTGTGATTTGCCCCTCCACCATCCCCCACCCCAAGCCTCCTCGGTACCATCACAAAAGGCCTCCAAAGGGCTGGTGATGATATCCCCAGATGGAGAGCTGAATCCTGGGTTACAGCGACAGGTGCTGGCATTGTCACATGTGGAGTTTGGGGGGCACCAACTGGGACAGGAAGCTGTGGGCAGAGGCCGTGGTCAGAAGGTGAGGGCTGAGTTAGGGACTGTGGGTAGGTTTGGTAATCCCAGAGGAGGGAGTGCTGGGGTTGGGGAACGGCCAGAAACTGCATCCTCCCTGGGTTAAGGGTGTGGAGTAGGGGCTCAGATCCCTTCCCAAGTTCAGGCTGGGGCTGAGTTGTTCCCACGGATTCACCCTTGTGTGAATCCCACTCACGTTTCATGGGTTTGGCTTCCAACAGAATCAGCAAGAGGCAGAGCTCTGTAATAGAGGGACAAGGTTCAGAAGATACATTTGAGGGAGGGGGCTGCTGACCCATCAGACTGAGGCCACTTCCTTGTACAAGAAAGGAGAGTGGGCATCCCCTCTTTGGGCTCTCAATGGGTTTTAGGAAGTGGAGGATGAGGAAGAGGTCTGCTTCTTCAATCACCTGTTCCTTTACCCTGTGGGCTGTGTAGACGGTGACTCAGACCACAGATTACAGCTAGGTCAAATTCAGGACCTTAGGTAGGTTTCCTCACTCTCTGGCCTCTGCTTCCCCTTCTGTAGAATGTGGATGATACCATGGCCCACATCTTAAGAGGACTGTGAGAATCAGTCAAGTGAATAGTGCCCGATGTGATTTACTATTATTGTAAAAGAGGTGTTCTCTCAGATCCTGCCTCCTTGGATGCTCCACACACCCCCTTCCTCAAAGATATATCCAGGAGCACAAACATCACACTCACAAAACACACATGGGTCTGTTAGCCCTGAGGTCCTGCTTCAGAATCCACTGGTGACATTCACCCGAGCTCCTAGGCTCACACTAAATGTGGCCCCTCTCCTGTGCTAAGGAGAGAGAGACAGAGGAGGGGGAGAGATGGAGGGAAAGTAAAAAGGCAGAGAGGGAGTACAGAGAGAGACAAGGACTGAGGGACAGAGAAATAGGGAGACACAGAGCTGGAAAAACCCAAAGTGACACACAGGGGGAGACAGAGTGACAGAAAGAATCAGAAAGGGGGTGGGTGAAAAGGGAGAGAGGAAACTGGGAGGGGGGGGAGGATAGGGGGAGGGGGAAGGGTGCCTCTCAGCAGCAAGGGGGTACGGGAAGGCTTGGGGGAGACATCTCATCCTGGCCCATCTGGAAGTACTGGAGGCATTCAATCCCAATAATCCAGGGACTCCAAAAGGGGGATAAGAGGGCAGGCATGAGTCACTTCCTGGGCCTAGAGGAAAGACTGACTCACTTACTAGCTAGCCACCTGGGTTCATCTCTAGGAGAGGGCTTTCTGGGGAATTTTGGGGTCTGCCGTGCTGAGCTTGAAGGACCTTGGCCACTAAGAGTCCCCCAAACTCAAGTGCCTTCTGGCCAGTGGAAGGCGGAGACCCCCAGCCTGACTGAGGCCTGGAACACCCCAGCCTCGAGTAACCCCTGGCACTCCCTTTGACATCAGGACCCATCTCTTCATCTCTAGGGCTACATGGCATGGCTAGTTCCCCTGCAGTCTTGACCAGTTCCTCCTTGCAGAACATCACAAAATGACCTTCCTTTATAGAATGGGACCTGGGCTGATACATCTCTGACTTCTAAAGCCCCAACTAGCCCCTTTCATGCTCGGAACCACCCATTCTACAGGTAGAGACACTAAGGATCACAGCCCAGGTAAGGTTCAGAAGGAGTCAGGGGAACAAACACAGGGGCTGGAGTGAGTGGAAATTGAGGCGTGAAGGTCCCCAGCCCCTGGGGCCCTGCCTTTGTAGCCTGTCCCTCTGTCCTGGACTGGGCTGGACTCTTCAACCTCCACCACTGTGACCAGCCCTTTTCCAGCTGGGAGCCTTGGAAGTGGCCCAAACAGGAGCTGGGAGAGGAGCTGCCATTTGTCCTTGCTCAGACACATCTGGTTTGCATTCTCAGTTAAGTTGTGAGTCCAGCCGGCAAGGCAGCCTCCATTTCCCCAATTAAATTCCTACGAAGAGACTCTGGGGCTGGAATGGGGGTGGGCAGGCAATTAACCCCTTTCTACTTCTTCTATGTTTGCCTCCTAGGCTAACCTAGACCTGGCAGTGTCTTAGCCAGAGGAAATAATAACAATAATAATAAAATACTGTTTACTTAATTCTTATAGTGAGCCAGAAATCATTTGCATATTCTCTCACTTAGCCCTTAGAACAACTGTGCTTCAAAAAGTTCGTTGAAAATTCCACTATTTTTTTTTAAAACAGCAACTGTTTTATTTTAAAAATTAATGTTTATTTTTTAGAACAGTCTTAGATCTATAGGAAATTGAGCTGAAAGGACAGTGTCTCATTTACCTCCTCCCCTCTGCACACGTTTTCCAATTAACATCCAGCTTTGCTGTGATACATTTGTGACAGCTGATGAATCAACACTGATGCATTATTATGAACTAAAGACATGGTTTACAGCTGAGTTCACTTTGTTGTATAGTGCTATGGGCTTTGACAAATGTATATGCCCATAGTCCTTTAATTCCATTCTTCCATGAACTTTTTGAAACCCCGTCATATATGGTCGATTCTGGTCTTACCCATTTTACGAATTAGGAGAGTAAGGCTCAGGGGAGTCCAGGATTTGGCCCCAGTGACACAGCCAGGCATGGTCTGAATGTAGCTCAGATGTACCTGGAAACCAGGCATTGGCTGATCCCTCCCCTAGGTGAGCCCCAGGACTCCAATCTCTGCCCCAAGCACAGGGGGCACTAAGTTCACAACTCCAATGACACCCAAATCCATCACAGGGCTTTTGTGCCCCCCAAAGTAATTCTTCATTTTCTTTGTTGTCTAGTTGCTCAGGCAACAGGGCTGCCTGAAGATAACGGTTGGAGCCACACTGGGTGGAGCACACTGGTGGGAAGCTGGGGAAGTCACAACAAAAGTCAAGTTCAAAACTGTAACCACAGAATCCCTTCAGCCCTCTGCTGGGTCCCAGCTGAGTCTGGGGGAGCAGGAATGGGGAACTCAAGGGCCACTCTGCCTCTGGGACAGCAGGAGACTGGCTTGGGGTACCCCCTGCAGTGAAGGGGTCCCAGCTCCAGCTTCCCAGCATTCACTTTTTTGCCCCCTTTCCTTCCCCTGCGCCTCAATTTCCCCATCTCAGCCTCCAAACTGGCCGGGGTGGTGGTTGGTGGAGTATCACCAAGTCGGTTCTAACGCATAGTGAGGCGGTAAATCTACGGGAGCAGAAAGTGTCATCTTTCTCCAGAGAAGAAACGGCGGTTAGCTTGTAATCCGCTACGCTACCAGGGCTCCTTAAACTGGCCCCAGTAGAGAGCTCTAAGACCCTTCTAAGAAGAGTCTCCTGTGAGCCCCTGGGTTCCTACAGAGATGCCCGGGTGTAGTCCCCCTAGTGCCCGCACTTCCGCGCGCTTGTGGCTTTCTACGCCACCACCCCCCCAACCCGCCAGGGGGCTTCCAATTCCTCCTCGGCCAAGGGGGTCCAGCCGTCCCTTGCCCCTCCCACTGGGTCCCGCAATTCTCACCAAGAAAAACGCAGTTGCGTGGGCCTCTCATGGTCTCGGTGAAGCGGCTAAGCAGGGCTGCTATGTTCCCCCCCGGAGGCTGGGCAGCTGTGTGGCCAACTGCTCTTGTGTTTGTGAGGGGGGGTGGCCCAGGGCCCTCCCCGGAACTGGCGGGGCAGCTGGAAACCAACAGGAAAGAGCAGTAAAAACACAGCCCCGGGGGCACCGCACTCACTCACTCACTCACTCACTCACTCACTCACTCACTCACACACACACACACACACACACACACACACACACACACACAAATAATAATAATAATGGGCTGGAACCTAGACCCTGCTTCCAAACCCCTCTGCATGTGCTTCGTCCATTTGAGCAACTGGCAAACTTTTGGAGCCCAGCGGCCCTTCGCTCTTTGCAGCAGGGTGGGTGGGCACTGTTTTGGGGTTCAGGCTGGGTAATGGCTGCGTCAGAAATAGTTACCCCGTCTGAGCTAAAAGTCCCACCTCTCCTTGTTTGCTAGGATCAGAAAACTGAGGCACCAAGAAGCCACATCCAAACGGAAGCTAGTGGAGGACGAAGGCGAATCCATGAGTGTGTGGACGGCTCCAAGAGGAAAGACCATGCATGGGAAGAAAGTCCTCTACTCCCTCAATCCGCTTTTTTCTGGGGTCAGCTTTTCTCTCATGGGAAACTTATATTTCAGGGGCTTATGGGCACTGGAGTAATCAACATAAAGTCACATGATAGGAAAGTTGTTTCCTATTAAAATAAATCACATGACTGACTTGCCTCTCAACTATAATAAAAAGTAAAATATAGCACCATTATTGGTAGAGCCCTTAACCTGCCTCAGGTGCTTTATCTATTTGAACTCTTCAAAACAACCCTATAAAGGAGATGTGGTTAGAAGTCCCATTTTATAGATGACAAAACTGAGGGACAGGCAGCTTACACAGATAATAAAGTGGCCCAGATCCATAGGAAGGTGGTCTGGCCCCTAAGTCCCTGCTACTAATCTAAGGAGAAAGCCTCTGTTGTATACTAGTGTGTTTTTAACACCTCAATGGCCCTGAGACTTAGTGGGCAATAATGTCCAGCAAGAATACAGATACTTGGTTTGATTTTCTTTGTATTAATATTTCATTTTAAGTGTACCTCCTTTTTAGGTTCATAAGAAGGGTTTTCCAATTAGGTATAAAGTTTCCTATTGAAACATGAGGAGGCTTTAGGATTTCCCCTTTCTTCCTTCAGACTTTTGTTTAAATAAACTTCTTCTGACACAGTCTCCCCACTATAAAATGTTAACCCCACCGACCCGCTGCACTCTGGCTCTCTGCATTTGGGATCCTTCAGTGTAACTTCTCACCTTTCAAAGCTCTTGCCTACGTGTTTATTTTCTGCCCCACCCCACCACTAGACCATCAGCTCAGACTGGCCCATAGTTCAAATACTCGTGTAGTTCTTTGATAGGCAAGTCACTATGTACAACCCTGTGAGTGTTTCTGAGGGGCAGATAGAGGGTTTGAACCCC